CGTCAGCAAGGCGTTTGACAAAGTTTGGAACGCGGGGCTGCAGTATAAGATCATACAACTGGAGCTACCCGAAAACCTGACGCGCCTGCTGTACAACTTTAATACGACCAAGCGCCACCCTACCAGGAGACAGTGGAAACCATCCACCTGAGAAATAAAACAGAGGCCCTCAACGTCAGGTTCCATCGCCTAGGGAATAAGGTTTGAGACAAGCTCCTGGACGACCCTCACAGCCCAGACCACCTACGCGGGGAAGACATCAGCGGATGGCGACCCCACGCCTGGTGGCCCCGGAGTCTACCCGCACTACAACAACCCAACCCGCCACAGTGATCCACCTTAGATTAAAACTTAGATGATGTAAGTTCACATTTAACAAGTCCCAATCTAGTGAGTCCATGACGTAATAATTATTTTAATAAACATGTAATTGTAAAATCAAACTAGTTATTGTCTACTAAAGTAACCATTGTGCAACCTCATCCTAAATCCTAGGTTAGCTTAGTTAGCCAACAAACTCTGTAATATGTAAAACAAGGGGTGTCGTCCCCCTCTGTTTAACTCATTAAACTTCTTTTCCAACCTTTCCCCCCACGACTATATGTTGTGACTTCTCCATCCCTCATGTCTGGCTGTGCCTTGAGCCCCAGCATTCCTTCCATCCTTTCCCCACCTTGACCTAAAAAAAAGGACGAATACCCCTCTAGGGTGCAGGTCCCCAGGCCAGGGCGAGAAAGAAGGAAGGACAGCCACTGGTGCAAGTAACACCAGTGGGACCGCGGCACAACTCCGCTGCAGAGCACCCAATCTGGGCCGCCTCTGATCAGGAGACACCCCTGATCAGTGGGGGGATACACAGAGGGCGTTGTCTGGAGCGAGCTTCCCGAATGTTTGGGTGGGCATGGTTAGTGGCGTCAAGTAATGGTAGTTTGCGCTCCAACGGTCGTCAACAGTTTAGGATAAAGGCTGGCTGGCTGGCTGGCTTTGGCGGTGAAGGGTCTTGAGAGAGGTCCAATCACGGCGAAGGCTGGCTGGTGAGTGTGAGTGAGTGATAGTCTAATCCTCGTGGAAGGAGCTGCAGGGCCTTTATATTGGAGATCTCCAGCCGGCATCTGGGTGTGTCTAGATCGGCTGTTAGGTAAGGTAACAGAAGTGCTGGCTGGGTAGCAGTTCCTTGAATTAACAAGGTCATGACGCCGGGTTAAGCTAATCGCGTGGCGGTGAGAATTCTTGTTCCCTTTGTGACCTTGACCTCCTTTGGGTCAGGTCCTTGTCTCACCTTAGTCACTGTAGGGTGTGTCAACTTCCGTGGGTGAACACGTGCTCCCCTGGTTACTGCTAAGTCTGTGTTATACTACTGGCCTGGATGCTTTGGTCTGATAGATATACATTATAAAGCACAGGGGCCAGAGCTTCAGCACACTCCCTCAGAACACGATGGGGTATTCTGTCCGGTCCATGCCCCTTACTTCCCTCCAACCTGGATAACACACCGGCATCCCTGCGAGTGAAGATTATATGAAAGTGCATAGGTTCAGTAGGAGGAGCAGGGGAAGGAGGGATAGAGTTGGAATCGTCTAAGGTGGAATTAGAGGAGAATAAGGTGCCAAAGAGATTGACTTTGTCAGGGGGAGAGTTGGCTATAGAGTTATCAGGTCGGAAGAGAGGAGGAAAAGAAGGAGTGCAGAAGTTATTACAGATGTTTTTGGTTAAGGACCAGAAGGATTTACTAGAGGAAGAACAGAGTCTTTATTTTTATAAAATTCCGCTTGGCCCTAAGAAGAATAGCCTTACAACGATTCCTAGAAGTAATAAAAGAGGTGTGGGTAATAGGAGAAGGAGATAGTTTCATAGCTCGATATGCCCTATCTCTCACCCTGCAAGCAAGAGAGCAGGAGCGATCAAACCATGATTGTAAAGTGAAAGTTTTGGTAGAAGATGGGATAAATGCACTCATACCACACTGTATAACTCTAGCAATGCTGTCAGCACATACCGAGGCGTCCCTACGAGTGGAGAAACAACATTCATCCCAAGGAAAGTCGGTGAGGAATTCTCGCAAGGCTTGCCAGCTTGCCCTCCGATAGTGCCATAGTTGACGTTTAGAAGGGGGTGGGGGAGGTGGTCGTGCCCAGTTTGATTTAATAGAAATAAGATTGTGATCAGAAGACCCTAAGGGGGCAGAAATTGAGTGTGAATAGTGTGAGGGGCTAAAGGTAAAACAAAGACCAAGAATGTTAGCAAGTTGATCGCTTTTAATTATTTGTTCCAAATGATTAAGTAGGGAAAAAGAGAATGCCTCAGCTCCACCTGGGTCATCCCTTGCAGAGCCAAGCCACTCTCTGTGATGTACATTGAAATCCTCTAAGTAGAGGATTTCGGTGTTGGGGTGTGTGGATAGCAACAACTCATGGCAAGAAGTGAGATAGTCAAGAGTTCCAAATAGTTGGTAGAGTTGGGAGAACAGTATAGGAAACAAAGAAAAATAGTCACAGTTGGTAGAGATATTTTGAGCCAGATGACATCATAAAGGGAAGATTCAAGATCCGTGAGTCGAGCTATAGGTGTACGTGTGTTGCAGTAGGCCCATACACCTCCCTTAGAACGGAAGGAGGTATAAAGGTTGTAGTTGAAGACTTGAAAAGGTGTGGGTGAAGCTGCTTTGGTCAGTTGAAGTTCAGATAGTGGTAAGAGGTCGGGGGAAGAGGTTAATAGATGGTGCTCCACAGAAGGAAAATTGTATCTCAGGCCGCGAATGTTGGAAAAATGAAGTGTGAAAAAAGCCGATCCTCCAGCAACCGAGGTGGCGTCAGTTGAGGCCCCAAAGTATATAAGTCCATATTAGAATCAACTAGACACAGACATCAACTCTCTCGTGAGTTTAAAAGAGACAGACATGATGACGAGTCATGCAAAGAATTTTTAAGAAAAATAAACAAAATACAGAGAGATATAAAGCGAAGGAAATCCTGTAATACGCCTCCGTACTGTTGATACATTTTATAGGTTCATCCTCTTCATCATTTTGACCAGTTATCACCTTACTAGCCGTTCAGGTGGTCGGTCTATCTAGTACAGGAGGAAACCCGAGACCGGGAAGCCTGTAGTGAGAGTCACACTGGATAACACCCTTCTTCCCTGTGCCTGGGCCGAGGCTCGAACCCTTGACATACAGGTGAGAGTTACGCTGTACCACCAACGTCCTCTTGCCCTTCCTAACATTAAACCCATTCCATTGACTACTCCTGAAGCTGACAGAGATCTTTCTATAGCTCTTCACAGTCTGTTTGGTTCTTAATTTACCTGAATAACTTGGCATTGTCCTCATCATTAGTAAGGAAGAGTGTATATCTTCTGGCTTGTCATTAATGAAACAAACAAACAACAACTGCCCTATGACGGGTACACTTGATGAGTTCGTGTCATTAATCACCACACACTGCTTGCGGTCATGACCATGCTAGGACATTTCCCCGAATCCCGTACCCTTCCAATTTGATTTTCAGCCTTTCGTGGGGTACACTGTCGAAAGCCTTGGCAAAATCTAGGCATATATTGTCGATATTACCACCCCGTTCCAGAATATGGGTTCAAATATCCTTTACCTTGAGCAATTGTGTTAAGCAGGAGCGCCTCGGCATAAAACCGTGTTGGCAATCCTTTACAAGGTTGTTTCGTAGTAGAAGTTCCATCGCGGCATCTCTGATAATACTCTCAAGCACTTTACATATTATGCTGGTCAGGCTCACCGGTCTATAGTTGTTCGTGGAGTGACGATCGCCCTTCTTGAAGATAGGACTTACATAAACCACTTTCCATTCACTGGGGACCATTTGTTCATCCAGGCATTTACAAAACAGGATCTTCAGGGGCTCGGCAAGCGCGTTGCACAGCTCCCTTAGCACTCTAGGATGCACCATGTCAGGGCCGGGACTCTTATGGACCTTTAGCCTGGACAGTGTATTTCTAATACCCTCTTCTGTGAACACAATGTGGGTCAGTGCTGTGTCGAACCGTCTGTCCTCAAACGCAGGAAGGTTAATAGCATCCTCTCTAGTGAACACCGAGAAAAAGAAGCTGTTCAGAATCTGCGTAACTACCATCTTCAAGCCTTAGATCTGTTAAGCTTAAACTTATTTTTTTATTTTGACTTTGCATAATGGTAAAAAGCTTTTGGGTTTGACTTGACCTCACTCGCACTCCGCCTCTGGAAGTCTTTATCAGCCCTTCTACACTCTGCCTCAGCTTGGTTCCTGGCTCTTGCATACATCCTCCTGTCCTAACCCACGTCTGGAATTTCTTAGTTTTCTTGTTAACTTTGTCCACCGCCGCACGGTTCACGTGTAGCTGCCTCCTTGTATCCCTGGAGCCAGTGGGTTTGGTCTTGGGTATATAACTATATATTTATCTCTCAAATAGATCACGTTATTCACTATAATGTTGAGGGTAGTATCTGCGTTCTTGTTTACCAGCGAGTCAGGCCAGTGAATAACCCTCCCTCAACCTGTTGTAATCACCACTGTAATACTTGAACCTTGGCCAACGGGGGCCAGGTGTGGCCACTATACCTTCCTCGTTAGTTATGATGAGGTCCAGAAAATTGTCTGCCAGAGTTTCTACAAAAGAGTAGCTGGATTACTAAGGTCATTTGGCGCGGTTTAATTCGTGCAGTCGATGTGGCCATATAGTTAGAGTCTCCCATGACGGCCAGGGTTGAGCGCCGTCAATTAAGGCTCCTAAGTTCCCTTGGTTTACTGGGGAAGATTTAGTCTTTGTTGAGAGTTTGGTTGTCATGGTAACAATGTTGTAAAGTTCTTGGTATTTGTGATGCGTCAGTGGGCGAGTTTTTATATTAGGTTGAGAGGAGAGAGACTGTTGCCACAACTTATATTAGAGATTATTAAAGAGAATGTTACAACTCTTATATACATTATTTGTACATCAAAAAAGGTTTTATATAAATGTTTAGTTTTTCTGGCAACAAATACTGGCACACTGAGTTGATCTATCCTTGTGTTATTATCGCCGCTCACTCTAATAAATGTATTTTAACCTTAATGAACACTTTATAAATGTGAGGCTGTACTCTCAAGTAACTGTTGACCTTTGTTCCTTAGTAATGACCAACCATGGCGACACCACCACCACCACCACCACCACCACCACCCATTACCGGGGAGGAGCAGAGCAACAGGTCAAAACTCATCGAAACACTGGAGAAACTGGGTCGCCAAGTCTTGCTGGATATGTACACCCGAGCAGCACGTCAGGAGGGGAAGGCCGAAGACATGAAGCTTCCCGAGTTCCTGGAGAGTAAAGGCTTCACCAAGACACAGTTAAAGAAATCATTTAATAAGGATCAGCTTAAGATACTTGACGCCGACCCTTCTGGCAAGAAATATGACATCTCGCTACTGTACCTGTGCATCACCTTGTTGCGTGGCCCTGCTCCTGGTGGCCAGCTGGACCCCCTTCAGGAAAAACTCAAAGCTGTAAAAGATTTTCGCAACGAAGTGCTTCACGGGGAGTTAGCCGTCAGTCCTGAGGATTATAAGAACAAGACGGAGGAGCTGAGAAAACTGTTGAAAGACGTATATAGTGAAGGAAAAGATGTGTTTAACATTGATCAAGATGAAGTAGATAACCGGGTTAAAACCATAGATGAAGACATCAACTACATCAGAGACAACCTCCTGGACATCATAGAGCAGTCTGGTAAACAAGAGTTGGTGGAGCTGTTTGGTAAACGGACAAATGTTAATCCTGTGTCGTTTATTGCCGGTACAGACTTTTTCCTCGATATTGGCACTGTATTCACAAACATCCAAGTTAAGGTGAAGCGGGATACAGTTGCCCAAGATATACCATATGAAGACATTCTAAAACTTGCCATTGACAAAGGCAAAAGAATCATACTTATTGAAGGTGTTGCCGGTGCTGGTAAGACGACCCTCTTGATAAAACTACTAAGTGATTGGAAGGCCGACAAGAGCACCATACAATGTCTTACTAACTTCCTGCTGCTCTTCCATATTGAAGGGAGGAATCAACACATCAGATTCTTTTTCAGAGCTCGTCCAGTCACAGATGCCAGACACCGCTAAGAA